AAAAAAAAAACAGCTATTTCTAATCGATGGTACAGCATCGAAATATATATTTTTCGAAAAATACTCACCTTACAAATGATATCCACTTATCATAGAGTGTTTTATGTTTTTTCTGGTCTGGAAACGAAAAGAATCGGCAGCAGTGGCTTTCAGATGTGTGATTGCAATCTGGATGAAAACACTGGCCCATCGCAAACTTCGTCTCCGTGGCGTTTTGACTCGAATTATTGCTCACCAGGTGCTTTTGTCCGCTTATTATACTCTTCAATAGTAAGGCCAAAGGTTATCTTGATTCTCTTTATCTTATTTCTATTATTGGAGGATAAAATGCGCTATTATAGCTCTTGAAGTGTTCGAGGTCAACGACAATGTGTCACGCTAGGGACGCCATATTGGTTTGTTTAGACCACAGAATTCCGGTGCTATGGAAACGTGACGTAAGCACTTTAGGACTCTATACAGAGGCGCTAAGCGTCCATATATGTACGTACGCCCGTGTGTACAGCTGAAATCTGAAATCTGTTCCCTTATAGCATTTGTCACCGTTACCGTAAAATAGGACCGATTTTAAATTTCGAATTATAGTGGCGTCCGTGTTTGTTTTTCCAGTGCCTTTTCATTAATCCATAAACGACAAGAAACGTTATTTGGCTTCCTAGACTTGTTAACTCTCTAGATATTTTAGGACGCCAACAGCCCTTTTAGCTTCAGAACTCTAGAGATGGATAAAATAAGCAACTAACCATTGCATTTTCCGTCGCATTTATTTATAGAAAAAGTTCTACGGAAATAGTTCGAAATAGCATTTCCGAGAACCTAAATTTCAAAATTTTCTGGGGGAGCGTGCCCCCAGGCCCCCCTAGTTTGGGGCGCCCAAGGCGCCCCCAATTTCCGCGCTGTGCGTTCACCTTCAAAATCTCACGCTACGCCCCTGCTATATATCTAATATAAGGCTCGTTTAGGACGATACAGACTTCAAGAAGACTTACAGTCCTTATACACTTAGAATACGCGATATCTACACCTATGATAAATTGCAAATTCGCGATCGGTGAGGAAGATCATGACTAACTACCATGAGTGTCTGTTCCATGGGGGGAGGCAAAGAAAAAAAAAAGAGCGTTTCAACGCGATTCAGTCTCATTGGACCTCGAGAGAGCAGCTGAAATAAAGCCTATAATTTAAGCAGATACTAGAAGATAAGAATGCCAAGTCCATGGCATTCACAAATACTGTAATGAAATTAGTGTTAGTTTACTTACTCTGTAAGCTCCTCTTGTCACCACTGTATCGGATCGATCAGGGTTTTTTCATAACTGAGATGTGAAAATGTATAGGTTTTGATAGTTTTGCATGCGGTTTTCGGTTTTGATCGATTTTTGTTTCGGTTTTTCGGTTTTGGATGATTTTTTGTGCGGTTTTGCGGTTTCTAATAGGATCCAATGCCCCCCTCGATTAGAAATTCAAATGAAGAAGTAAAGCATTAAGTATTTGGTAAGCTGTTTAATATATATAATTTTTCATCAATCTTTGAGAAATCAAAGACTTCAAAATTTGTTCCAAGAAATACTATAAGACTAAATGGTACTGCATACTGAATTGCTTTTACCAGCTGATCATGCGTAGAGTGGCAAAAATAAACTCAATAAATTTACCTGAGAAACAAGTGTCCATAGCTTCTCCATTTTGATCTAATTAACATTCTGACCACAGGATGCTGCAAAGCTTCCTAAAGATAAAAATCAAGCATTGATTTCTGTCTAAACGTGGGTTAGTAGTAATCTAAGAATCAAACTCCTGCAGTTAAGTAAAACTATGTATTAATAATTATTCACATGTAAATCTGGATAGAACTGTTTCTGAATGTCTTGAGTGACTTTATACATTTTATCTCGGCTTCAATTTCTTAGTATTTACTGTTATTTGTTTTTTTGTTTAAACTTACTTTGTTGTTGCTTTTGGCAATAGTATGTAAACAAGACTTGTTTTTCCCATTAAAATAATTGTTTACTATCTGCTGGTGTCCATCTGAAGCCATAATCTTTGGGGGTCGTCCTCCCTCATCTCCATCCAAAATATGATAATAAAAATGATAGTTTAATGGATCATCTGTGATTGTCTTCCAGACTCCTTCAATTGCCTCCTTCTCCTCCTCAGTTTCATATTTTTCTTGGCGCTGTGGAAGATATGGCCAATGTGGATTCACCATCTGGTCTAGTACAGCTACTACTGTTTTCTGTATAAGAAAAAAAAATCATTAGGTTAATTCTATAAAAAATATTTCTATCTTGTGTACGTTAAGTATGTTATGTATGTACATATCTTATTGAATACTCACAGATAAATCACAATACCTGAAAAGAAACATCACTAAGCTCCACATTGTAAAAATGATGTAAAAAAATGATAATAATGATTGGAATTAAAAAAATAGTCTTTTCTGCTTTTTTCAAGAAAATGGCAGATGTAAAGATTAAATGATTAGAATGCAGAGGGGTTATACTTGGCATGTACTGCGGACCAAAGACAGAAAATGAATAATTTGAGACCAAACCCACAAATACCTACCTTTAATTAGTTTCTAGAACAGATGGTAAGTTTCCAAAGCTCCCAACTGCCTTATTCCATATCAAAAGTGCTTGATAGGAACATTTAGATGTAATTTACATAATACATAAACCTGGCCTTGGGATTATAGGGTTGAGAGAGTACACAATGGTAACTTCAGCCCTTCCCCAACATCATCCCTTTCCTTCTCAACATCTGTAGTTAGATACATGATTTTCCAAATCTTTTCTTCTTAATAGAAATAGAAATTGTAAACTGATACATAATACAATGCAAACAATCATATTAGGATTGGGGGTCTACCATAGCTTTTATTTCTTAACTAAGCATGTGACCCATTCAGCTTTTAGTAAATACTAACCTTCATTTTGGGATTCTCGATGATTGCCTTCAAACTTAAAAAAGATGGTTCAGGATTTGTCATGTTGCCAGGTGTCCAAAAAAATAATCTTTGGACTCTAGAAGCAATGGTGAAAATAAATTATTACATTGTGGATTCCAGTGGTTAGATCAATCAGGTTGATGACACAAGGTAATTAATTCTGGATCTGGTTGCATTAGATCATCTTTATTATTATCATCATTTGGTTAGTCATTAGAAAAAGAATTTGTTACCTTTTCATACGATTATGTGACTTATCATTTTTTGCAGGCAATAGCAATTAGGAAACTGACAAACATGCTACGTAAATTACTTTCCAAATCTAAACTTGTTTATGTTTCCGTTTCCCTGGAAAAGACATTTGTACCTTCATGATCACCCCTTAATTCTCTCAATGAGGAGTTTAAGTGTTTGTTTGACAGTAAGCATGTATCTACCTTTCATGCCGCATAGCTCTAATCAAAAATGCTGCCACGTCATCTTTCTCTGCTTCTATGGCCAATTCCACCGGCAACATGGCTCTTTTTTCTACAGGTTTGCGCTGATCTGCTGTCTTCACAGCAAGCAGCAGAGGACATTTCTTCACTAGCGTTTTGGTGACATGTAAGAAGCCAAGCTCTGCGGCATAGTGCATTAGGGTCTTTTTCGTTTTGTCATCTTCGTCTTGGAATTCCTCGTATCTATTCTCAAAGTTTAGTTCACTTTCTAACATTGTTTCCAAGTATCGATTTATCTACAAAACACATATAAATAAATTTTATCATATATTATAAAATTAAAAAAATGATATATTTCCCACAAATTGTCCTGAGATAAGCTTATTGAGAAATATAAGTAATAAGTTCCTGCAAACAAAACTTATGGGTAAAAACCTGTTGTTCAAGTCCAAGAAGTTTGTCAGGATTATCTTTGAGCTGTTTAGATACTGGCCACTTTTTCAACATCAAAAGTGCTGGATCCTCACTGGACAGTTCCCCACCATCCTTATATTTCTGTATTAATCTTTCAACATGAACTTGATCCATAGCTCTGTTCCATGAAAATCCCTCGCTCTGCCTCTGGTGAACCTAGTTAAATAATTCAAACTTAGTCGATAAAGAATTTATTACGTCGCAAAATAGTTTCAGAATTTTTCAAAAAAACTTGCCTTTGACACATATCAGTTCTTCATTACCTTAATCCAGAAATCCTCGTCCAATTCATCTCCTTGCTGCTGATCACGACAGCGCTCAATTTCAAGCTGATTTCCTTGTTCGCTGTTTTCTTTAGCACGCATCAATTCTTGCTCTCCTTTGCTCATCGCTGAATCGCTTAACACCAGCCACATTTAAGTATTTGTCTTAGAAATGCACCATAATTTGAGGTAAAATAAATAGTCTTTTAAAAATGAGAAGCACAGACTTTGTCCAACTTATCAGGAAAAGTGTCGAAGACGAGCCGTGTAACTTTACTGTGACTGAAGGTTACGTCAGCTGAGAAAGACTAAAATTTTACCCAGGGATCTATCGGTTGAAAACCGAGAAGCCCCTGGGCAACAGTCGTCATCAATACTGCTCAGTTTTGAGTTTTGAGGACACTCCTGAGGAAGAATACTTGAAATTGTTTACATGTAAGCGTTGCAGGGCAACGAGAAGAGTTTCATGATGCTTATAAATTAATGATTGTAAATACCACAAGTTAAACAACACCTAAAAGTATTTAAAAGGATTGAAACGCTGTATTGATCTAAGGGCGAACGGTGTCAAAAGCCTAGATTTAGTATTTCTCTGAAAATTCCAATTCTGCGAAAATCAAGCACGAGCTTCTCTCAGTAAGAGGTGCCTTTCATTTCAAACACGCATGCCATTGCCTCAGTTTACTTTTCTGTTGCAATATCCACGTGCAATCCACACAAGTCCTTTGGTATATCATGGGTGCTCAGAATGTTATCTTGCAATATCGACTGCTCCCTTTGAATTGCAAGCACAGTTTTAGTTTTGTTTGAGAGAGTAAACCAAAAATTTCAAAGCTAGTTTATTCAATTCCGAGTCGTTCGAATCTACTCGCACAAATTAGATTAGAAAATGAAATGTGCATTGTTTCTGTATACTGAAAGCGACAGCACCAAAGGAAGGCGACTGATGAATTATTTTCAAGGCAAGCTGCGAACTATAGCAGATATGAGAAATATTCCGAACATTTTGGTCAGGAAACAAGATTTTAGATACGAGCTTTGCCACTGCGAATGTGTTGTGTTGGTCGGGACACCCCAAGCCTTGTCCCTCATCCAAAACAAGCAGCAAGAAAAAGACGAAGATGACATAATTTTTGACGGCAAAGTTATGCATGAAGAGTTCACAGAGAACGAAGACCTTGTCAAGAATAGGCTCGTAATCGTTCACTTCACGGAAAGAACCAAGGACGACTGGATCCCGACCGGTTTTGATGAAAACCGAATCTTTCATGTAGAAGATGGAAGAGCTCCCCCCAAAGGAACCCCAACCTTAACTCACCTCGAATATCGCATGAGGAAAATATTGCTGGGAGATAGTCTCTTGTACTGAGCTCAAGGAAAATAAGAGTTTACAACTGAGGCTTCTTTATGGACAGAATAAACCACATAAGGCCGCCTCCTTAGCTAAATGCGTTTCAATGACAGTTAAATTGTTCTACAATGATAATTAGTCATATATGTACTTGTTTGTGGTATTTTTTTTCATATTTGAAAGACTGAGCAGTGTGATGGTTACATCCTTGTGTATGATTACAGAGTCCGGATGGCGTGAAATTATGAAGAGAATAAAATTTTGCTGGAACAGCTCAAGTATTGTAGATAAGGACTTAAATATTGTCTCGAGAAAACTTTGAAGGGTTTCTAAACAGACCGATCGAGACAGCTTTCGAACAGAGTGGAGCGGAAAAAATGAGCAACGTCAGTCTTGCATTCATTAAATTCCTTAGAACTTCATGTTCTTCTGGGAGTCGATGTTTATTTATTAGCTTGCACTTTATACTCTGAAAAAAAAAATTAATAAGAATCGAAGATGTTGGTGTCATTTGTGGAATTATATGAAGCACAGGTACACTATCTATTCAGATCACACATAGCTCGCTTCCAGGGTCTGTCTTCTTCTATAACGACACTAAAGATGGGGGCACATGTACTGAGTAAGGGCCAAGTAATAAAGCTCTATGGCATCAAATATCTTGTTACATGTATAAAATCATCGAATTCGTTTTCCAGATCAGCTAAACTAACGCTGTGATTGACTTCAAATGCAGTTTTTTAGGCTAACAAATAAAAGATGAAAATTTAAACGAACTGATATTTATGATCCACACAGAACTTTGCTCTCTCTTCCACTTTCATTTCTTGAACAATAACGAGACAATTATTTCTGAAGCACTGTAGTATTTCATTAGACACGGGTTCGGCTTTGAAGCCGTACACGCTCCCATAACTCGGTCTAATAAAAGAACACAAGATAGAAAGTTTACAAATTTGTGTGAAAAATAGTGTCACTGTCATAAACTTGTGCAAACAAAATTAAACCGACCAAAAAGTGTTACATAGACAGGTAAAAACGAGCGATATAATATCCCGCCGTTTCGGCGACTTCATGACGCCATTATCAAGGGTACAAATGAGAATAAAATTAACAAATGCGAGTTCAAGAGTTACAACTAATTTACATTGGGGAGGTAGCTACACAAATACTTTAGCAAGGATAGAATCCGTTTGCACGTTCAAACTCGGTGTTAATTGTTTGATGTAAAGCATCTCGTTGACAAGACAATCGAATTTGTTCATGCACTTCTTGAGAACTTTGAAACAGCTAAGGAGGTCCTCAGGGACAGCACCTGCGTGGTCGTTGTCGTAGTGCTTGCGTACTGAAGATGACGTGCTCTTAGGGCTATCCACGCGGGCATATAAATGCACGCGTGTGTAACCAACATAGCTCCCTGTATCACACAGGTTACATTTAAATTGGTACACTACGCACTGTTGATTAACCCAGCTGTGGTTTGGTCTCATATTCTTTAAGGTCTTGGCCAATTTTCCGACTGAAAAATACGGGCTGGATTGTGGTTTGGAGCTTAATGCTAAGGTCTTTCAACTGCGTCTTAACAATGTTAGCGGAGTCTTGGTCCTTGAAGCGTATGACTACTCGGGTTACATAATTTTTCGCCAATCTTTCCAACACCTGCAATGGATGCTGGTCAGCAACTCTCGAGTTGATAAAGGTGTTAATGGCGGAGTTGATAAGGTGGTGAGCCATTAACACCTTTAACACCTTTAACACCTCCGCCATTAACACCATTTTAATCTTGTTGAGGCCTCATCTGTTTAACCATCTTTCTCATCATTTCCCTGGAAAAGAAACATGCCTGGTTAGAAAAATGAACAGTGAACTACTCGAATGAAAAAAAAAGTGTAAATCAGTCTCAGAATTCGTTGCTTTAGCTAAAATTTGCTATTTGATAGTTCTACAAACGGCACGCCACTCTCTCAACCAACCTAATCAGATTAAGAACTAAAGTCAAACGTGACTCATGCCCTCACGTATTCCTGTAGTCACGAGTCCTTTCCAATCATTCTTAGAAATGTCACGCAACACTCCACCCAAAAGTGGCTTCTTCCAAAAACGTTGTGTGACATCTACGAGAAAGGCCGCGAAGGCCAGGAGAGAAACGTACGTAGCCGCTGTTATAACAGTTTTCTTGTTTTTATTTGATTTAACTTTTAATCTTCGTGCTACTTTCCTACGTTGTAATTTATACCATAATTATTTATCTGTTACGAATGTCGATCGAATGGCGCTCTATGCAAGGTTGACTGGGTAAAAAAATTAGCTCGTTGCGAGAAAGGTAAGCACTCAAGGAGTTTTCATCTCCAGATCGCATTAAGTTTTTCTTCGACTGACTCCCAAGGATTGCGATCTTCACTAAATTCAAGAAGCTCTGGGAAACAAAAGTTGACAAAAACATAACAAGCTAGAACACAGTGACTTCCATGCATTAAATTTGACTACTACATTATATCTTCTGCATAATCAACAATACTTGATGCGAGAATTTCTTCCCCTTACCGTGGTATAATTGAAATAGAAACGATATCTGAGGAAACTGATCTCTCGGATTTATGCAAAGCTCTCGGTAATAACACAAAGAGAGATGTAAAGTACGTGGCCCCATTCTCATTTTCATGCTACCCCACCTCATGGCAACACCATATTTGTTCTCTTCCCAATCTCTACTTCTCAAATGACATTCAACTGACAACACTTGAAGACGATATGTCTAATCAGACAGTCTCGATCCCAAGTAATTCACTACCGACCTTTTGCGAGATTCATTTCACTGATCCAGCCTCCCTCCTTGTAATACTTCACACGCAAATTCTGCAGAGAGAAAACTCGTAGTCAAACAAATCAATTACCTCCTTCTGTCCGAAATCGAATTCTAAAACGCACGCACGCGCATTAAATTTGCGCAATTGCACAATTGCACAATTACACAAAGCGGTAAGTGCCTCTCATTGCTCGTTTCTCATTAAGTATTGGATACTTAAAGAGAAACGAAAGGGAAATCTTACCAGAAAGGGAAATCTCTCCATGCGAGTAAGTTGGAAAATCCGATCCACATCATATTCCAGACGAGCGACTTTCTTGGCCTGAGTGTAGGTCGTGCTCATTTGTGCAATGAGAATGTTGAGTAGAATTACAGTCACTGTCCCCATGTACGCCATCATCAGCAGAACTGACAGCCAGCTGCAGGAAAGAAATATCTACAAAGTTTAGCACGAAAAGGTCTATGGACTCCAGATGTGACCAAAACCTGATTCTCTATTACAGACCTGCTTCTCTCAAGGGGCGATTTAAACACGAGTGGAAACAGCTGTTACGTGCACAGAGAAGTAATAAAAGATTAGTGCCACTTACTTGAAAGTTGAGTAGTCTTCAACCATTGGATACTGATCAGACAGTGCTCGAAATCCGCTCCACAAGACGTCTCCAAAGCCACTAAGTGCATGATTAAAACAAAAATGTTAGGTTTTTGCACTTCGCATGGGTTATGGATCGTTATGTCTACGATCCAAGTTACCGCGTTCAAAAAATGGCTTTTGCAAAAGGGCGAGAATAGTTTGAATAAATAAAAATTCTAGCAGATCAAACCTAAAAAATTTCAGTGGAAATTGTCGAATATTTTACTTACTTGTAGGAATCAAAACCTTCATTTTTTTTTAAAGACAACTTCACAGCTTTGTTAAGTAGATATACCCAATAGAAACGCACCGAAGTTCTTGAGTTTCCCTGGATCCCGAGTAACAGAGTGATAAAGTCAATGCCCCACAGAAAGAGAAAAAGATCACAATAAAAACTGCCATGTATCTTGTGACGTCATGTAATATGATTTTGGCCAAGGTTTGTGTGTATAATCCTGTAGTCCTAGAAAAGATATAAGGTAATGTTAGGTAAGATTATTACAAAGGGATGAGTTTTTTTAAGTCAACAGCACTCAGTTTCTGAACTAAAGTAACCAGCTGAAAGTTGTAGGTTACCTTGACACGCATGAAAACTTAAAGATCCTCATGAAGTTGATCAAGAAGGCCAAAGATGTCATCATCCACTGAGCTTTATGATCCATGTATCGTAACGGTATTATACATAAGATCAACAGCAGGCCTAACCAGTCAAACAGAGTCATCCACTCTGTGAAATAAGAACGCCGCTCTCTGCAAGAAATCAAACAATTTCCATGACTTTGCTCCTCTTCCAAAATTTTCTTTCAAATGTAGGGTCATTAATCGAAACAATGGTTCAAACAATAATAATAATAATAATTTAATATTTATATTGCGCAAATTAACATGTGGATATGATCAAATGCGCATCACAACACTTTTCGGGGGACTTTGGCCGGACTGCAACAGCAGTTTACAAACAATCGAAGGAAGCTTATTTGAAGATGCCCCCTCCCCCCCCCCCC